CCTTTCACATAGTCTTATGCAACTGTTGATGCTGAGCTGCCAGTAAATAGGGTCAGGGGTTAGGCATGACTAGGCCATCATGAATTTGTGAATATTGAGGTGTAGTAAGTTTTGTTCTAGGATGGCCTCTTTTCCAAAGAAATGTTCTAAATTCCAGATTAGAGATTTATTACAGACTCAGTCAGGGCAGTTGGGGATTCTAAATCATCTGACCAGGTTTTCCCTACCCACCACCAACAATGGTAAACATGACAAGGTTATACTTTTATCATGCAGGCAAGGGAGTGAAGGCATGTGCCAAGATAATTTCTACATAAGTGATATGGGATTTAAGGGCCTCATGCACACAGGACATCATAAACGCTGCTTTTACAGGCATTTCACCTTTTTTCTGACTCTTATTGCCCCTCTATGTTATCCTATGTGTCCATAAACACAACGGTAATTACAGGCGGTTCAGGATCATTTAGAGGAAGTAAGAAAAAAAAACATCACTTGTGCATTCAGAAGAGGAGCATTTGGGCAGAGAAAACAACAAACACACATTAACGCTAGATGCGTTTAGGTGCATTTGTGCGTTAATGCATTCCAATGGCCAGAATAAATTAGTATTCTTGTCAATAGAATGCATTAACTTTAATACAAAATGTGGCTTTAGGCGCATTTTTTAAGCGGAATTTTCCTCCCCTAGAGCAAAGGGGAGGAAAAAAAACATCCTGTGTGTATGAGGCCTAACACAACACCACATCATGCATTCTCTTCCCATCTGCTCCTCCACAGTTACATGCTGCCTGTTTGTCTGAGACTATCATACTACAATCCTCTGTATTACAGTACATTGATTTTAACATTGCCTTGCTGTCTGCCTGTCTGTCTGAAACTGTCATCCTGCAATCCTCTGTGTTGTAGTATATTGACAGTGCCTTGAAAATGTTTTCATACCCCTTGAAATTGTCCACATTTTGTCATGTTTACTAAAAACATAAATGTGTTTTATTGGGATTTGATGTGAAAGACCAACACAAAGTTGCACATAATTGTGACGTGGAAAGAAAATGATAAATGATTTTCAAAATTTTTTACAAATAAATATCTGAAAAGTATGGTGTGCATTTGTATTCTGACCCTTTTAAGCTGATACCCATAACTAAAATCTAGTGGAACCAATTGCTTTCATAAGTCACCTAATTAGTAAATAAAGTCCACCTGTGTGTAATTTAATCTCAGTATAAATACAGCTGTTCTGTGAAGCCCTCAGAGGTTTGTTAGAGAACATTATTGAACAAACAGCATCATGAAGGCCAAGGAAACACACTAGACAGATCAGGGATAACGTTATGGAGAAGTGTAAAGCAGGATTAGGTTATAAAAAAAATATCCCAAGCTTTGAACATCTCATGGAGCGCTACTCAATCCATCATCCAACTGCAAACCTACCAAGACATAGCCATCCACCTAAACTGACAGGCCAGGCAAGGAGAGCATTAATCAGAGAAGCAGCCAAGAGGCCCATGGTAACTCTAGAGGAGCTGCAGAGATCCACAGCTCAGGTTGGAGAATCTGTCCACAGGACAACTATTAGTCATGCATTCCACAAATCTGGCTTTTATGGAAGAGTGGCAAGAAGAAAGCCGTAAGAAGTCTGATTTGCAGTTTGCAAGAAGCCATGTGGGGGACACAACAAACGTGGAAAAAGGTGCTCTTGTTAGATGAGACCAAAGTTGAACTTTTGGCCTAAAAGCAAAACACTATGTGTGGTGGAAAACCAAGTCTGCACACACCACTGGGAGGGAATATTGGCATCAATGAACACAACACAGAAATGGGAGTTCTCCAAAAACACTGTATGTGAACACACTGCCAAATATATTCCCATGGGCAATAAGTTTAAAAGGCTAAAAATCAAACCTATGTGGCTTATGGCCAAAGTTAAAACAGCTATAGATAACAAGAAAAGGGCTTTTACTACATATAAAAATGAAGGAATGCTATAATCATTTAAGCATTACAAAGAATATAACAGAATATGCAAAAAAAGAAATAAAGGCTGCAAAAATTGAAAACGAACAACAGATTGCAAAAGAAAGCAGGACCAACCCCAAAAAATTATTGAAATATATTAATAGTAAAAAGGTTCGGTCCGAGCATAATCTAGAAAATAATCTAGAGTGGGTGACTGGGGACAAAGAGAAGGCAAATGTATTAAATACCTTCTTCAGCTCTGTGCATACAAAGGAGCATGGGGGAGCTCTTGTCCATAATGGGCATGGTATTGACACAGCTCCCGGTGATCCACATTGGCTCACAATTGATATGATCCAAAAATATTTAGATTAGAAGCCATTGTTTCTGATTTAGACTCTTTAATGACTGGCATAGTACCACTGGATTGGCAAAAGGCCAATGTGGTGCCAATATTTAAAAATGGGTCAAAATCTTTACCAAGTAATTATAGACCTGTTAGTTTAACTTCTATAGTTGGGAAGATACTGAAGAGTTTAATAAAAGACCACATAGATGAGTTCTTGCTGGAAAAAAAATATTTTAAGCAACAGACAGCATGGATTCATGAAAGACAGAGGTTGTCAAACAAATCTGATTTCTTTTTATGAGGAGGTGAGCAAAACCTTGGACAGAGGGGTGGCGGTGGACGTGGTATACTTGGATTTTGCAAAAGCATTTGACACAGTTCCCCACACATGGCTAATCTGTAAGGTAAAGTCTACAGGCTTGGAAAAATCTGTATGTAAATGGATAGAAAACTGGCTAAAAGATCGTATTCAAAGAGTAGTGGTTAATGATTCATACTCTGAATGGTCTAGAGTTGTCAACGGTGTACCCCAAGGTTTAGTGTTGGGACCCTTACTTTTTAATATATTTACAAACGATATAGGGTCTGGGATTAAAAATACCATTTCAGTCTTTGCAGATGACACCAAGCTGTGCAGTGGAATAACGTCCTTACAGGATGTCTCCAACTTACAAACCGACCTCAATGTACTGTTTAATTGGGCAACTGTGTGGCAAATGAGATTTAATGTTGATAAATGTAAGGTTCTGCACTTGGGGGTTAAGAATATGCATGCATCATACATACTAGGGGGAGTACAACTGGGGGAATCAATGGTGGAGAAGGATCTGCAAGTTCTGGTAGATCACAAGCTCAGTAATGGCATGCAATGCCAAGCTGCGGTTTCTAAAGCGAGCAAAATCCTCTCTTGTATTAAAAGAGGTATAGACTCCAGAGAGAAGATATCCTATTACCCCTGTACAAATCATTAGTATCACCTCATCTGGAATATTCAGTTCAGTTTTGGGCACCATTTCACAAAAAGAACATTGAGGAACTGGAGAAAGTACAGAGAAGGGCAACCAAACTGATAAGAGGCATGGAGGAGCTCAGCTATGAGGAAAGATTAGAGGAACTGAATTTATTCTCTCTTGAGAAGAGGAGGATAAGGGGGGATTTGATCAACATGTATGAACCATCAGTGGTTCATATAGTGAACTCGGTGTAGACCTATTCACCCTGAGGTCATCACAGAGGACAAGGGGGCACTCTTTACGTCTGGAGGAAATTATATTTAATCTCCAAACTTGGAAAAGTTTCTTCACAGTGAGAGCTGTGAAAATGTGGAATAGACTCCCTCAAGAGTTGGTTCTGGCCAGCTCAGTGGATTGCTTTAAAAAAGGCCTGGATTCTTTCTTAGATACACAGAATATAACTGGATGCTAACATTTCTAGGTAAAGTTGATCCAGGGTATATTGCCTTTTGGGGGATCAGGAAGGAATTTTTTTCCCTGCAGGAGCAAATTGGATCATGCTTTGCTGGGTTTTTTTGCATTCCTCTGGATCAAATGTGGGTATAGGATTCTAATTTATTTTTTCTTTATTTTAATGGTTGAACTGGATGGACTTTTGACTTTTTTCAGCCAGACTAACTATGTAACACCATCCCCACCGTGAAAACATTGTGGCAGCATCATGCTGTGGGGATGCTTTTCTTCAGCAGGGACTGGGAAGCTGGTCAGAATTGATGGGAATATGGATGGAGCCAAATATAGGGTAATCTTAGAAGAAAACTTGCTAGAGTCTGCGAAAGACTTGAGACTGGAGACGAGGTTCACCTTCCAGCAGGACAATGACCCTAAACATGCAGGCAGAGCTACAATGGAATGGTTTAGATCAAAGCATGTGTTAGAATGGCCCAGTCAAAGTCCAGACCTAAATCCAAGAACGACAAATGGGCCCAGCACTGAATTCATTCCATGGTTGCCAGCATCCCAGAAGAGATATACTGAAAGATTAATTCCCCAACAATTGGATTGGGACTTTAAGGGAAACCCAGAACAAAACAATAGAAAAATTATCAATAGATCATTTTATTCAAAAAACAAGTGAAAGAACATCATGGTGTAACACATAACATTCATATAAACACTATACAGCAGGGGTGTCCAAACTTTTTTGGAAGAGTGCCAGATTTGATGAAGTGAACATGTGCGAGGGCCGACCATTTTGCCCGACATTCTGATGAACCATTAAAATTAAATGCAAATGAACTATTTTATGCAAAAGTTTATTGAAAATGGCATACTTTTCATTTTGTGACTTGGATGACAAATCTAAACAGGTGTTAAATCACTCTGCCAGCACAGGGAGAAGGAAAGCCCAAATCTCGCGAGATCTCGGAGGTCGCGAGATTTGGGCTTTGTTTCTCCTTGCACTGTCTGATGACGTCAAGCGATCCTGAGCACCAATCCATTATAGCCCAAATTGATACCGTATTTTTCGCTCCATAAGACGCACCTGATCATAAGACGCACCTAGGTTTTAGAGGCGAAAATCAGGAAAAACAAAATTCTGAACCAATGGACTGCAGACATAGTAGAGGAGATTACCAGAGACTGCGGACACAGTACAGGAGATGACCAGAGACTGAGGACACAGTACAGGGGATGACCAGAGACTGAGGACACAGTACAGGGGATGACCAGAGACTGCGGATATAGTACAGGAGATGGCCAGAGACTGCGGACATAGTACAGGAGATGGCCAGAGACTGCGGACACAGTACAGGAGACGGTCAGAGACTGCGGACATAGTACAGGAGATGGCCAGAGACTGCGGACAGTAAAGGAGCCAGAGACTGCGGACACAGTACAGGAGATGACCAGAGACTGCAGACACAGTACAGGAGATGACCAGAGACTGCGGACACAGTACAGGAGATGACCAGAGACTGCGGACATACAGTACAGGAGATGACCAGAGACTGCGGACACAGTACAGGAGATGACCAGAGACTGCGGACACAGTGCAGGGAGATGACCAGAGACTGCGGACACAGTGCAGGAGATGACCAGAGACTGCGGACACAGTGCAGGAGATGACCAGAGACTGCGGACACAGTGCAGGAGATGACCAGAGACTGCTGCGGACACAGTGCAGGAGATGACCAGAGACTGCGGACACAGTGCAGGAGATGACCAGAGACTGCGGACACAGTGCAGGAGATGACCAGAGACTGCGGACACAGTGCAGGAGATGACCAGAGACTGCGGACACAGTGCAGGAGATGACCAGAGACTGCGGACACAGTACAGATGACCAGAGACTGCGATGACCATTCACAAAGCGAAGCGCATGCGCAGTGGGCACCCGGCTGTCACAGAAGCCAGCACGGGAAGACTGTGCAGCGCTGGAGCGAGGAACAGGTAAGGCCCTGCAGGAGACAACAGCTGAGCGGCCGGCCCGGTATTCAGAGACATGGCGGGGCGGCAGAAATACCGGACCGGCCGCTTTATATTCGCTCCATAAGACACACTGACATTTTCCCTCCTTTTTTGGGGGGAAAAAAGTGCGTCTTATGGAGCGAAAAATACGGTAAATGGTAGCCCCAGTAGTAATTCCCTGCGCACCACCTGGGATCCCTCGGCCCACGTTCCGGACCCCACAGATGAGCTGCCCAATATATAACTTACGGCCCTCCACTAGCGATTCTGCGAACGCTACTGAGGACTCCAGGGATCTGTCGAGCGGGAATTGACGTCATCAGCCGGCACACAGAGAAGGAAAGCCCAAATCTCACGAGATCTCGGACGTCGCGAGATTTGGGCTCTCCTTCCTGCGCCAGCTGATGATGTCAAGAGATCGCTGGAGTCCTCAGTAGCTTTCAGGGAATCACTACCGGGGGCCGTAAGTTATATATTTGGGTAGCTCATCTGTGGGGCCGTTTCAGTCCGGAACGCGGCCGCAATTGGCCCGCGGGCCGGACTTTGGACATGCCTGCTATACAGCATCGAAAATGAATGGTCTGTATATATAACTTGCTTTAAGCTGAGACGTAATGTTGCAGCTTCTCCTACAACTCAGAGGACAGTAAGGGGGGTGTAAGCTTCAGCAGAGAACCCAACGCATTTCAGAACATAAGTCTTTCTTCAGGGGTATACTGAAGAAGAAGATGGCCAGCTCTACAAACTGTAGTGGATATCGATCAAAAATCACAAAACATGACAAAAAAAAGATATACACTAAATTACAGTTGTGGCCAAAATTATTCAACCCCCACTGAAATTGAGTGTTTTGGCCAGTTTGACATTGCTTTTGATCATTCAGTCATCTTGCTTACATTTACATTAAAGAGGCACTTGTAGGTCAGACAAATATAACATAACAGTTATAATGAAATAACCACAAATGTCTTTTCTGTGCTCACAGCATTATCAGTTTTATTCAACCCCCAAGTGACATTCAATCTTAGTACTTAGTACAGCATCCTTTTACAGTTATAACAGCTTTTAAACGTGAAGCATAGCTTGACACAAGTGTCTTGCAGCGATCTACGGGTATCTTCGCCCATTCTTCATGGGCAAAGGCCTCCAGTTCAGTCACATTCTTAGGCTTGCGCACTGCAACTGCTTTCTTTAAGTCCCACCAGAGGTTCTCAATCGGATTTAAGTCTGGTGACTGCGATGGCCACTCCAAAATGTTCCAGCCTTTCCTCTGCAACCATGCTCTAGTGGACTTGGAGGTATGCTTGGGATCATTGTCCTGTTGAAAGGTCCAACGTCTCCCAAGCCTCAGGTGTGTGACGGACTGCATCACGTTTCCATCCAATATCTCCTGGTACTGAAGAGAATTCATGGTACCTTGCACACGCTGAAGCTTCCCTGTACCTGCAGAAGCAAAACAGCCCCAAAGCATGATTGACCCTCCACCATGCTTCACAGTAGGCAAGGTGTTCTTTTCATCATAGGCCTTGTTCTTCCTCCTCCAAACATAGCGTTGATCCATGGGCCCAAACAGTTCTAATTTTGTTTCATCAGTCCACAGAACACTATCCCACAACTTTTGTGGTTTGTCCACATGGCTTTTGGCATACTGCAGTCGACTCTTCTTATTCTTTGGAGACAGCAAGGGGGTACGCCTGGGAGTTCTGGCACGGAGGCCTTCATTACGCAGTGTGCGTCTTATTGTCTGGGCTGAAACTTCTGTACCCACATCTGACAAATCTTTTCTCAGTTCCTCAGCAGTCACACGGGGACTTCTCTCCACTCTACGCTTCAGGTAGCGCACAGCAGTCGAAGTCAGCATCTTCTTTCTGCCACGACCAGGTAGCGTTTCAACAGTGCCCTTTGCCTTGAATTTGCGAATGATGCTTCCTAAGGTGTCTCTTGGTATGTTTAACATCTTTGCAATCTTCTTATAGCCATTGCCCTTCCTGTGAAGAGAAATCACCTCTTCTCTTGTCTTCCTGGACCATTCTCTTGCCTTCACCATGTTTGTAACCACACCAGTAAATGTCTAGAAGGAGCTGAGTATCACAGTCATTTTAAAGCTGCCTAATTGGTGCTTATTATGCTTGATTGCTGCTCGGTGACATCCACAGGTGTTTTCAATACCTGATGGAAAGCACCTGTATGAACTCTGTTCTTCAGAGTGGTAGTCTTTAAGGGGTTGAATAATTGTGGCAATGAAGAAACCACATAAGAACCATTTACTACTGTATTACATAAACAATTGATGTCATTTTAGTTGCATTTGGGTAGTTACAACGTCCTTGTAGGATTTGATTCTGAATACAATTCCAAATGTACACTATAGTCCCTAAACCCCTTTACAGCATTGGGGGTTGAATAATTTTGGCCACTAAACTGTATATACATCCATTTACAGCCTACATGCCATCTAACTTTCTTCTGGAATGATCCAGTTGTACAGAGAAGGGCAGGAAACACTTTGGTTCCAAAATGCTCACCGGTGGAGCCCCGCTGTGCCCAAGAATAGATGACAATGGAGGCACAGGAATAGGGGGAGAGAACAATTAATCACCATGAGGGGGGAGGGGCACAATCCTCTCACACAGGAATTGCCCTACACACCGACAGCGAATTGTAAAATGGTCAGTGCGAGCCTATAAAAAGTACAATACGACACCATTACCTTGTCTGCCCTCTAAGGACAACAAACAAAAAGTGGAAAGAAGTTGGAGTAGTCAGTACTAACAGTGTAACAATAAGTATGTGAAATTAATCTGCTATACTCTGGGGGCCTGTAGCCATAGGAAAGCATGTGTGTCACATGATATATATAGGGCAACGTGTCCTAGAACTATCATACTACCCCTTTTAAAATCTATAAGTTTTGCTAATATTCCATCCAAATATATCATCAGGTTTTAATTAGGGCAATAAATGTTTGCTAATGTACACTCTCTTTCTTGCAAGTTTCCTCTTAAAAAATAAATATCGGCCTTCTGGGTCTGCCAGCTTTACGTCCAGAATGAATTTTATGTTTTTTCCAAACCCTATCGTCACTCCCTTTGCCCATCTTATTGGAAAGTCCGCATAGTACCAGGTTGGTAAACATCTAGAATATAGCTTAATATTTGAATGCTGGAATATATACTGTATGTCTCTTGAAAAAACACCACTTCAATGGATCATTGATGTATTTCCCTTAGCCTTATGTCTTTTTGTTGGAGTATTTAATCCTTTTACATTATATGTCCTAAAGTTAACCATATTCCTTCCTCCTATTTAACTGTTTTCCTCTATATATCCTTTGTGGGTGTAAAAGTAGACAAATTTTTAGGACAAGAAAACCTATCCTTTTTTCCCTCCTTCCCTCCCCCCAAAATCCCCAACAACCTTTTTTTGCTCCTTGAATCCACTGTGGCCCACTGTCCCAGTTGATTCCTTCTTCTGGGTAAGACTCTAAGCATGCACACCTCTTCAGATCCCGATCTCTCATATTTTGGTCTGAGGTTGGCAGCATGTTTGGCCTCCCTACTACCTGCCATGGTGCTCCATCTTCTTCCCCAGCGTACCCAATCTTCTTTATTATAGTTTTCTATCCTGTCTAAAGCACATTTACCTTAACCTGCAGATCCCCTTTAGCCCATCCTAAAAGTAGAGGGATTTTATCCCTAACACATTACCAGACGGATGGGAGGAGCAGAGCAGCGGGGGGGTTGGGAGAGAGAAGAAAAAAAAGAAGAAAATTCTCTCTCACTTCCCTCCCACCGCCTTCGCTGTCCCCCCACGCCTCTCTCTTTCTGGAAACTCTTTTCCAGTTTTCTTCTAATCCATTATTCTCTTTCCCTCCTACAGACCACCCATCAATATCTAACATCTGTAATTCTAATTTTCCACAAAAAGTCATTTAGATCTTCTGGAAATCTCAGTCTCGCCAATTTCCCATCCTTCCACCTAATCAGGCATGCTGGGAAACCCCAATTATAGCAGATATTTTCATTCTTCATCTGATCTACCAATGGTTTCAAAGATCTTCTTATAGCAAGTGTCTCCTGTGCTATGTCTGCAAAAATTTGACTTTTGTCTCTGCATACATTATATCTGGCATCCCATGTAGCTTTTTCCAAATGATTTCTCTATCTTCATAGTGGTGGAACCTTACTATCACATCCCTGGGAATATCTGATGTAACTTTTTGGGATCTTTGTATCCTGTGCACTGTTTCTATTTTCAAATGCTCTGTATCTCTCCTTTCCATTATTGGGTAAACAGTCTTCTCATAATGTCCCTTAGACCTTCTCATTGAGACATTTCTGGTAGACCTCTGGTCATTAAGTTATTCCTTCTATCTCTGTTTTCCTGATCTTCTAATTTATAGGATAACAGACTCTGTTCTCTTTTCATTTCCTCCACTTGCTGTTCTAATTTATTAATTACTTGTGTTTGTTTCTCCAGTTTCCCTTCCATTTCCTCTACTCATGATAGAACCTATCCCATTTTGCAGTGTAAAACCGCCAATTCGCTTTTTATGGAATTTTTCTAATTTTGCAAACATATCTGCGATTTCTGCTTTTGGGGGAATTTGTAGCCTTGCT